GAGGTAAGTGCGGTGACAATTTTGTTAGAAAACAACCTCTGTAACTAAAATAGTTCTATGTACGGTTTGCTCTCGCTAGTAAGTTGTAAAACTAGGAATTCCGCTCCCTCCACTTGGCACCACAGTCGTGGATTTCAAATTTAAACTGGTTAGAAAAATACTTGCTGCACACGTCGCACTTGCAGATGAAGATTGATTTCTGTTCCTCCTTTCTCGTGTCTTCCAGGTTTGATTTTAGGCGGGGTGGTACGTGTCTTGCACTCATAAAGTCAATATGGCAGTCAAGAATACACCTGCAAAATAATCCGCGGTTTCTTCATTAATTTTCGACCAGGTTGGCATTGTTTTTTTGGTTTGGCCATCTTAAAAGGGTGCAAAAGTGCCAGACAACTTTGTCCCGGTCCACACTACGCCCGGTCCGTTCACACTAATCCGTCACAAAAACGGAGCTTTACGAAAACGCTCTTCAAACCGGAGGAATTTGAACACGCCGGCTTTGCGTTTTAGTGTGAACGGAAAACATTTTGAAAACGAAGCTTTTCGTTGACAATGACGTTACGATAATCATGATTTCCCCCTGCTCCAGTTTTACTCACTAAATGAACTCATACAAATCCAAACTGACCGGTGATTGTTGTGTTTTCAAATTCCGCCGGCGTAGTGTGGACGCGGCGTTAGTGAGTCAGTGTTCGAGCCTGGCGGCCCACGATACTGAGTCTGAGTCACGATACTGAGTCTGAGTCACGATTTTCGTAGCATGAAGCGACCAGGAGTATTAGTATGATGGTATGATTGATCATTGCAGTTATGCACACAACTTAAGTAGTTGCGAAATTAAAGCCTGCAAAATTTTTTCAGGCTTAAATTTCACAACTGCCTAAGTTGTGTGCATAACTGCACTAATCAATCATATCTTCATATCATTCTCCGCAGTTCAAATATATGAGCTTTCATATATTCATTTGTACTCTTCACCATCTACGGGTATATTACGAACTCACAATGTGACCAGCTCCCAGTTGGCTTGGTAGCTCAGTTGGTAGAGTACTACACCGGTATCGCAGAGGTCGTGGGTTCGAATCCAGTTCAGGCCTGAAATTTTTTCAGGCGTTAATTTCACAACTGCTCAAAGTGGTACTATGATCAAATTTTTACCCCTCGATATTTTGGCTGTATCACATAGGGTTCCATGAAAGAATAAAAATGCCGTTTACCGTTTTCAAATATCTGCATTAGTTCCGGAGATATTTAAGTTTGAAAAATGTGTAAAATATTCAAATGAGATGACTGATGACGTCATACACTCAACCCAATGTTATATGACGTACATAAATCGCGGCCAATTTACAGCAGAATCCATTGAAACTTGGTAGGCTAATAGTTCTACAAGAAACACACCTACGGCTATAAAAAATTCTGTTCCCATTGCAACTCACTGTTTTCCAGTCCCCACCGACTCGATTTCAATATGTTAGTGTTTTTCAGCTTGAAAAACATTAAATGAGGCCAGGAGTTCGAGCTAACATATTTATATGCCTGCTGGATCGTGCATACGAGACACCATTAGCAAATATCAAAATGGAACGCCAAAGGTGGCCAGAAAAGCCTTTAATATTGGGGAGGTCTGGAACCCAGTATGTTGCCATGGTAACAAAACTGTTAAGCTCGTATTGTGGAACACATTTAGTAGAGTCTTGCTGCAAAGAATCAAACATTTCTGATACAAATTGGCCGAGATATCTTTCTTCATCATATTTGATCACAGTTTGGTTGAGTGTATGACACCATCATTTTGCTAATTTGCATATTAGACCGCCGCCTGGTTAGCTCAATTGGGAGAGCGCCGGACTGCTGTGCGGGAGGTCGAAGGTTCGAGCCCCAGACCGGACCAACACTCAGGGTCTTAAAATAACTGAGGAGAATGTGCTGCCTTTGTAATTACATCTACAAATGGTTAGACATTCAAGTCTTCTCGGATAAGGACGAYAAACCGTAGGCCCCGTCTCACAGCACTTCACTGATCTGGTTCTTGTGGGACGTTAAAGAACGCATGACACTGTTCGAAAAGAGTAGGGGACGTAGAACCCGGTGTCATGGTCTATTTGACTTGTGCCGGTCATTGGTCTCGGGTGGGTAAGGTGAGATCATACACGGACTGAAGTGGCTGAAAAGTGCGCCTTCATATGCTGACGTCCGATCTCACCTCTCTGGTTCCTCCGCAATTCAGCCTCTGGCTGCAAGGGAGGAAATTGGCACCAGCTATCTACCAACTATCTAACTATCTATACTTTAAAAACTTGAACATCTCAGGAACGAAAAGAGACATTTGAAGACAGTAAACGGCATTTTTCTTCTCATAAAGACTACTTTTTTATGTTTTAAAATGGCTTAGATAGGAGAGATGCGATTTTCGTCATAGTACCACTTTAAGTTGTGGGCATAACTCAGTGGCGGATCTAGGGGAGGGGCCCGGGGGGCCCAGGCCCCTCCTTATTTTGGGTAAAAAAGAAGAAATAACAGAAGGAAGAAAAACCGGCAGGGCAAGTAAAACAAAACCGCCCCCTCTCGCCCCCTTAGCTCAAGGTCTGGATCCGCCACTGCAACTGCGATGATCAATCATATCTTCATATCATTGTCCGCAGTTCAAATATATGAACTTTCATATATTCACTTGCAGGAGTATTAGTATTCCCCCTGGATGGGATGCTAGTCCATCACACGGTTACCCCCAGCATTCAGGCCGCTGGTACCCATTTGTACAGATGGGTTGTGAGAGGCACTGTGAGAGTAAAGTGTCTTGTCCAAGATCACAACACAATAACCCCGCCAGCACGATCCAGAGTCCAACGCATTAACAACTGAATAAAGCCCACCGTGCAATTAATATGAACTAACTGTAAAATGCCGAAGGACAAAGTTAAGTAGGCGGACAACCGACGAAACAGGGGGAAAAATACTTCCTTTTTGTGTCTTCATAGAGTTCTAGAAACGTTGTCGAAAGTTTTGGAGAACTTGAAGTAATACAGTAAGTTTATAATTCTTCTGGTAGAAAACGTAAAACCACTTGAGAAAGTGTTTCATCCCAATTTCCAAACACCGAGAATCTTCCAAACCAAAACATATTCTTATAGAAAAAAGAAAGAGTGTATTCATAACTGAAAACGAGAAGAAATAAAACGAGGGGAAGTCACGTTTTGAGAAAGAAAGAAGTTCCTGATAGCAGCTAGCTTCTTATAGTCGTTCAGTCATTGGGGCGTAGTGAGAAAAACGGTGGAGAAAAGGAGAGCGAAAAGCTTTTCTGCACAGCGCTTCTCCCCTATTTTTGCGTGCGCCATTTTACCCGCTGCGCCCCATCAAATTGAACGCGCTTCGTGTATGTTGTAGGCTCGCAATACGTGCGAAACTTAACTTAACGAAACGTGCGCTAAGAAGCAATAAATTGTCTATCTACACTTACTTGATACAGAGTTCAAAAAGCGACGGGATTTCTTTTGTGACAAGGCTATCGTCTTCAGAAAACCACGGCTTAAAGTTGAAAAACAGGTTTTTCCGGCTTTTTCTCTTTCTCAGGTAATCTAAAATCGAGTGCAGCCCCTGTTGTACAATTTCCGGTGGAGGTGAAGTTAAAGGGTTGTCCTGTACATCAAGGCTCTTTAGCTTTGACAAATTCACAAGCTCCGTTGGTAAATAAGTGATGAAGTTGTTTCTGTTGGAGACAAAAGTGTGTAAGTTGATCACTGCAAAGTCTACAAAAGGCATTTACCATCCTTAATTGTATCTTTGTGGATACTTAAGAGTTATACCGTAATCCATCAAATATTTTCAACTTATTGTTTTAAAAATTTAACATCGTTATAAATGAGGGTAGCTAAGTTTTCATTTTCTTACCGAACTGAAATAATTTGCAAGGTGGGAATGTGTCCAACAATTCTTGGAAGAACGTGCTGATAAAATACAAAAACAAAAAGTGGATAATAATTAGCTAATAGCAGACAATAAGGAAGTCTGCCAACATTGCAGCTCCCATTTGCAAGAAGTGGTTTAAAAAATAACTTGTTTAAAAGAGCTATGTCACGGTTTGCACATCTTGAAAAGTTTAGCCCAAATTTTTCAATTTCTTTGTTTGTAATCCATGTTAATCTTCTCCATCCTTAACCATCCTTGTTCCCTCATGGTTTATTATTACCTCTTTCAACTGGTGTTTTTCTATTGTTAGTAGTAAACAATTATTTTCAGACCATACTAATTATCTCCTCAGAGCTTTATTATCTAGCTCTCTGCACGCATTGCAGGCCTATGATGAGGGAGCATCATAGGCCTGCAGTGCGTGCAGAGAGCTAGATAATAAAGCTCTGAGGAGATAATTTTGTATTCTCGTTATTGGAAAGGAACTAGCTTGCAATGGAGGCTTATGTGGGAGAAAATCATGATTAAAAAGAGATAAATGTCATTTGCATTTGAAAAGACTCCCCACATCAGCCTCCTTTGCAAGCTAGTTCTAGTCCAATACTGGGAATATGAATATGGCCTGTTTAAAGGCAATTTTGTAGGTGGCCAAAGTAATACCGTGACTGAACTCCTTTAATGCTCCCAGGCTGCTTTTAGCAGACAGGACAATCCTAAGACCCCATCATTTTATCTCTCATTCGCCCTCTTTTTTCGATTGTCCCTAACTACCGAGAGTCTGGAACAGGCTAGACAATCCTGAATTACTCTTATTGGAATCCCATCCAGGTGGAATAGAAATACTCCAAGTCAGTTATTGCTACAAAAACTGGGATAAGCTCTGGCGGTATGGAGCACTTGACCTGCTGTACATGTTGTCTTTTATTTATCACCCTACGTTCAATAGACGTACTGAAAAACTTGTTTTCTACTAACCAAACAATTGAATGACACATCAAGTTCTTTGAGCTGCTTGAGGTAAATCACAGACCACGGCAAGTCATTCAGTTGATTTCCACACAAAATGACTTTCTGAAGGTTTGTGAAGTAGCACAGTTGTACGGGAAATGAACATATTTGTTTACCTTGGCGTGAAAATCAAAATCTGATGTTAGATAGTTACTCAAAATACAATCACTATTGTTGTAGTAGGGGCTTGGGTGGGGTGGAGATAGGGTGGAACTGGACTTAGGGTCAACTAGGCTGTGAGCAGTCTCTCCTTTGCTTGAAATTCGATGGGGAAGAACACAAAGTAGAACGCAACACAAGTGAGTGTGATGAGCATGCAAGCATGAAATGCAAAGCCACAAGCTGTAGGTAGATGTCACTCTTGCAGTCACGCTTGCCGCTCACTTGTTAAAAAGGCATTCTTTCCCATGGATTTCCGAGCAAAAGAGAGACTTTTTGACCATGATGGTTTCTTCATCTTATCTTACATGCACAGTCATCTCAATCAGTCCAAACTATCATGCAGCTATGTATAGAAAGACTATACAGAGATCCACTTTTGTTACAGTTTTAGTTTCCCCATATCAACGACAGCATCTTGGATGAGTGACTGAGAAGTAATTAAAGTTCAGATGTGAAGTGAATTCCAAGGAGTGGGACTCCAATATAAAAAGAACAGGGGTGCTCGTCGGAAATTTTCAAAAGAGCGTCTAAAAGGTACCACGATCCTGTTTTGTGGGTGTGGCTTGAAATTTTTTTGACCCCCAAGATGTACCAATTCTTAAACACGACATTATCTCCGAGATATTTTTTTGGTGGACCTGTTGGGGCTAAATGCCCTAAGAGGTTCCAAAACTGTTTTTTTTTAACCCCTGAAAGGTACGATGAGCACCCATGTCCTTTTTAAATGGGAGGTCCCCCCCCCGGGGTGTGAATTGATGGTCTGATACTGGCAAAACTTTAAAACTAGAATAGTTTAGAAATAAATAAAATAAAATAATAAAACTAAAATAAAATATACCTTCCATTATAAACTGCTCAAGCTGAAGAGGATTCTTGTAAGTCTTTAAAATCCTATCCACATCTTCTTCAGATAAGACATCTTCATCTTCTGAAACAGATAACTAAGAAATGAACACATTGAAAATAATTAGTGATTACTGATCGAGTCCCAGATGTTCAATCAGAAGGCTACTGTTAAGTTCAGGGAAATGGAGGAAAGCTAACAACGTCTTAAATGAACATTTTGCCAGACCAAAACTTGGACTTCGCAAAAATAAAAATAATAAAATAAACAAATAAAAAAAAAAAATGTAAATTGATCCTGTGAGTTAATATCAGTGATAATAACTATAGAAGGAGCACTGCCCTAAGGGTTACCATGTTGGAATCTAGGTCTAGTGACAGCTGCACAGGAGACTATACTCGCATCAAGTGTACTAAATGCAGTCGCAGTCGAGTGTCAATCGATACCCCCAATTGATATGCTTGATTGACCCTTGATCGACACTCAATCAACACCCCAATGACACCTTGGATGACACTTGATCGACACTCGATCAACATCTCGTTTGACAGTTGGTTGAAAGTCGACCAAATTTTGATTGATGCATATGAGTCAATCACCACTCAGCCGACTATCGACTGACTGTTGATCAAGTGTCAATCGAGAGTCAACTGAATATTGATTGAGATGTCGATCAAGTATCGATCAAGATGTAGATTGGGGATATTGATTGAGGGTATTGATTGACACTTGACCACAGATGCCTTTAGTACACATGATCCCTAAATTCTTGGGAAGACAAGTCAAGCACGTTGGAAGCGTTCTGTCAAGTTGTGCCAACTTGCATGCCTCCTACTCCCATTCATACTCCTGGGCTTCGGGTGGACAAAGGCACTGTGAGAGTTACAGTAAGTGTCTTTCCCGATAACACAAAAAAATTATCCTGCCAGGGCTCGGACCTGGGCCGCTCCATCTGCTGTTCAGTGCACTAACCATATTTATAATTAGGCTACCACACAATCCGTATAATTAACCCTAAACTTTCGTCACGTTCTGGCATTACGTGAAGTAGTAAAACTTCAATTCGCTGAAAGTGGCTTAAGAGGGAAATTGTATCCATAATTCAAGTCCTATGCGGAAATATTTTGCCTCTCTTTCTTTCTGAAACGATTATCATTAAGATCATGATGAAGCTGCAAGGCGTCTTAATTAACTTAATTTAAAATCTCACCATTTCTGCTTCCCTATTTCCAAAACAGGGAAACATTATCTTCCAAAAAGGCTCAAGAACGTGCTCCATGGGTGCAAATGACCTAGGGATTCAAAGCGTCCACCTTACTCGATACAGGTTGATTCGGTCCCTTCCACGTCGCTCATTTTGCGTAACATTTCACTTTTATAATTTCCCCGTTTAGCTTTGCTCAGCTCCTATTTTTTGTTGTCATCAATCTTTGCTTCATGTAAGAACTGAGGAAAAGCCTCTAATTACCAGGCTTTCCTCGAACAATTGTGCTTTATCGAAAAGGCTTCTGGGTGATAACCTTCCGAGAAGTATCCTTGAAAAAGTTTTGCATAGTAAGGAGTGTGGCTGACATATTTGCTGTTTGTGCGTTGCTTTCCGGCCTTTGCCTTCTCGACTACCGTGATCAGGAAAGCTTAATACACTTGGACCCATAAGGTAATGCTTGACAAGTTGTTTCTTCTTTTTTTAGCGTGTCATGTTTGTATAAACTATTTTCTCTGGGCATCGAGCATGCAATTTTCGCAATTCAAAATTGCTGAAAATTGTTTTTCTGTCACGAGTTTCCAAACTTCCTTTGGTCAGAGAACTTTTTAAAGGTTTTTAGCGTTATAAATACCTTTCTTAAACCAGTCATTCTCTCATCTAAATCTATAGCATCTGTCGTCAGTGGTTTGTTTGCCGATACATAACGTAACTAACCTCAGATGCGAGATTTCAACCGAAATATGATTTATATTTCGTTTTTCTTTCGTGTATGTATTTCAATTGGAGTATCAAGACGGTTTATGCAACTCTACGATGCCCCTTTTCCGAATTATAGTTTATAGGCCAATACCTATAGTAGAGGGAAGGTACACATTAATACAATAAATAAGTAAATTTGTTTTACTTATGTAAAGTAATGAGTAGCTTTTCTGAAGAGTGTTAGAGTCATTTGACTTTGGATTATAGATCTCCAAAAAGGGTTTTTCAGGGCTGTAGCTAAGAAAATAGTCTCACGTTTAAGATTTTCATTGAGCCGGTCACCATTTTTCACAGTTACAAGGCGGCACAGGCAGTTCGTTGAAAGAGAACATGCAAAACGTGTTCAAAACAAGATTTTATTTCAGTCACTTTACTCATTATAGTGGCACTGATACTCAAGGTAGTCAGGAATTTATTCCAAACTTTTCATTTAGTTGCGTTAGACTGTTCGATATGGTTCAGATATCAAACAATTGTAGGTGCATTACCTAAAAACTGTGTGTTGTCCTTTACCGAGTGATTGGTGCCAAAATCCAGCCAACCTCTTTCTCAGCCAGTGAATTTTGGCGGCAGCTGACACTTAGCGACAACCCATGGTTTTATGTAGTGACCTAGTGTATAGTGTATCGGTTTTCTCAGATAAAGAGACCTAGCCCAGTATTTTAGACATGGCTTGACACTGTCTAGAGAGTCACAGTGCCCTTGTTATATTGAGGGTACTGACAAACCCAGCTATTTTAAACTCTTGGTGGGAAAGAGAAATAGTTCAAAATAAGCGAGTCAGTATTAAAATGAAAATGATAAGTTACAACAATAGCAAGTGACATGATGGAGTGACATATGGTTTACATGCAGTTCTTATTTAAATCAGTGTGAAGTAAAAGAATGTTTAACTCGGGTAATGCAGTATGCTTTCGTCAAGGGATGCCTTTTTTTTTTTTATTGACCAGAATGACTATCTAGAGCAGAATGCTTGGGGTGTCCTAGCCAAAACCTAGCAGACCAAGTCATATGGTCTGATGGTAATCTTTAAACTCTCTCATTATAGTTCAAAACTAATACGGTTGAGTTTAGGCTCAGGAAAACCAAAATCAGTTTGAGACAGCAGGAAGTTTTAAATAGCCAATTGTGACTGTTCTGTAGTAAACAGGTGAAATTTAAGAAGTGCAACTCCAAGGGAAATAAGTTTTCTTCAGTAAATGATTGTGAACACATGCCTAACTGTTGATTGATGTTTGTCTTCTATCCTGCTTTCCACAGTTGTCAGCCATGCCATCAGTTTGTTCATGCTTTCACACTCTTGTCTGTCCCTCTGGGAATCCCATATCTGAAATCCCCCATGCCTTTGGAATTCCAGTAGACTATTTTTGTATTCTCAGTATTGGACGGGAATAAGCGTGCAAAGAGATTGAGCTCATTTGTATTTGAAAAGACTACCAACATTAGCCTCAGTCTCAAGCTAATCCCGGTCCAATAACAATGATACAAAAATTGTCTTTTGTAAGTACATGTGTACCCCCCATGCCTTCGGAATTCCAGTTCAAAGCCCCCCCCCTTTTGCCATAGAATTCCAAAAAGCCATCTATTAAAGCAATAGACCACAAGTTTTTATGGTTTATAGGCTGATAAACCACGCAGGATGTTGGAAGGACACTCAAAGAATTCGTAAATCAAGAGCTGCAGGCGAGTGATTTACGAATTCTTTGAGTGTTCTTCCAACATCCCAAGTGGTTTATCGGCCTATAAACCATAGAAACTTGTGGTCTACTGCTTTTATATAATAATTCAGAAGACACGCAAGATTTCCATGAGTTTACTGGCACAATAAACCATAGCTGATTGACCAATCAGAGCACGCGCATTCTTTTAATTATTATATTAATAGGTATATGCCATCGGGTATTTTCCAGAACCACCTAACAATCAGGATTTTAAAACTAGGGAATTGAACTGTCTATCAAGTCAGTTCCTGGAGCACCAGAATGTATTGGATATTGGACTGAGTGTTCAACAGGGAGAAGGGAAAGAGAGATTAAGCTTGCTTCGGGTTAAGTGTCCCATACCTCTGGAACTTATCCTGCTTTTGTAGCATTAGGCTTCCCTTTTCACCTTACTTATCCTCTTCTTGTCAAGTGGTACATTAGGCCTTTATGCCATGCCACCAACCTTGTTGTGATGTAGACCTTGTTCTGGGTCCTCTATTGAGCTCTATTCCTCTGTTGCTCTGTTGCTCTGGGTGTCAACCCTGCCCTCATTATTTTTCTGGGGGTCTGGATGTGGGGGGTAACAAGGAGTTTAGCTTTTGCCCAAGTTTGTTATACTTTGTGCACCCAGGTAATGTACCATGTGTAGCCAGCTAATATTTGCTCAATTTTGAGCATTTGAGGCTTCCATATTAAAATTTGTTTTTAAGGGAAGAGTGATTGGTCTTTTGACTGCATTTCTACAAAATAATCTAACCTGCTATAGTGTCTCCATTTTAGATGCCAAACATAAAGCTACAAAGCTCAGATGGGGAAATATTTGAAGTAGATGTTGAAATTGCCAAAGCATCTGTCACAATCAAGACCATGCTTGAAGGTCAGTACATGACGTTAACTTAATACCAGGGTTTACGTGTTTAATAACTTTTGAGGAGGTAAAAGAGCACCACTTCAAGCTCTTTTGCAAAATGTTCCAAGATTTTTTTCCTTCTCTAAAGAATAATTACTGATTATGTTTAGCTTTCTTGTTACCTCTTTTCCATCACAGATCTTGGTATGGATGAGGATGATGACGAGCCAGTCCCTCTTCCTAATGTAAATGCGGCAATTCTCAAGAAGGTATATTAATTGTGTTGCTTTGTCTACTAAATTTACTCTCTATGTGGCTTGCACATCAATGCCTACAGTATTTATAAATATTGATCTTACAAAGATGGAATGCAATACAAATGAATTCTTTTCTTCGGCCAAAAAAAAAACAAAAAACAAAAAACAACAACAACAACAAAAAAAACTGAGAAGCACCAAGTGGTGATTGCCTGACTAAGTCTTTAATTGGTGAAACTGAAGGGACCATTAAAGGATTCCTGAAGTAAGAATGTAAGAAGCTACATGTTGTTTACTATTATGATGAATTATGAAGTCAAATACATGTAAGAAGATTTGTTGAATAGATTGCTGTATGATATTTGGAGCAGGTACAGATAACTTAATTGTTGACTGTCTCAGCAGCATTCGTTGCTGGGTGAATCTTTTTATCATGGAGATAACTTCTTGAATCTGCCAAAGATCAAGGTGTTGTCAAAGTCACTAGGGACATTCAAACTGGACTACAAGTAGGAATTTTCAAACCTAGTGCACAAGATAATCAAAAGCATATTACATAATGTATGCTTTTGATTATCTTGTTTTGTGAACACCAAACACTTATTAATAGTCTTCTAATCAACTGGTCAATAATAGAGAGGAGCAGGGACTGTACACGTAGCACTGTACATGTAGGACTAAGAAATAAGGAATGTAACTGGACTGAAATTTGAGAGCTGCACTTATACTAGAAATCTTACTCATACTCCAGTCTGAAGGTCCTTAATCGTATGATCAAGGGATAGTGCATGATTTGATCATGGCATTGTACATTTTTGTCGGTTTTCCTAAGCTGCAAATGAACATTATTCTCTTCAGTTTTCACATGTACTTGCTGTTATGTAATAAGTCAAATTAGAGCGGTTTTCAATATTTATTGAGCATGGTAAAACCAAAACCAAACCGATTACTTACCAATTACACTACTCAGCCGATCTCAAACCGTAGAAAAACCAAAACCAAAACCAAAGTAATTATCTTATTACTTTCGACACTCAATTGTAAACCGCTCTATTCTTTCATTTCGATCAAAATTGGTTTTTGCTTGTGATCTACTCTCTGCTTTATTGTTTTTTCTTTACTATATAAAACAGATAGATTCCATGTTGCTGTGCGTCTGCATAGTAATAGATCACTGAAGATGTCAAAATACCGGTATGGCAAGAACATCAGTGATGCTTACCTAATGGCTTGTGTCACACATTGACATCATCTGTGTTGTAATAAACAATTAGGTTATGAGCTCAAGATTTCTATCACGTGATAGTTGACGAGGGCTCAGCCTGAGTCAAATATCACACATAAAAATCGAGAGTGAATAATCTAATTGTTTTAGTATAATAAATCTACTAGTCGTTCAAAACTTTATCCAAATCCTTTTCGCAGACACTTCAAAAACGCCAAGAAGTGGCTGTCATTTTGTTAACAAGGGCACTCTGCTGTGCTACTCACTATCTATCACAGAATAGATAGTGAGTAGCGTAGCCAATCAGAGAACAGCATTCTTGATAGAATGCTGGTAGATTTATACAAATACTGAACAGACACACGGTAACATGGAATCTATTTAACTAGACAGTTGTTTATTGTTGTATTGAAGGTTATACAGTGGGCCACTCATCACAAGGATGATCCACCACCACCAGATGACGACGAAAACAAAGAAAAGAGAACAGACGACATTGATCCTTGGGATCAAGAATTCCTCAAAGTTGATCAAGGGACACTGTTTGAGCTTATCCTTGTGAGTATAATATAAATTAGTATCACCCAACTAGTGGACTAATGCAAAATTAATTCTGCCACTTAATTGGCTACGCTACTAGAGGACTACTAGTAATAGTCCTCGAGTAGCGAAATTGGCACAATCGAGCATGATGCTTTCTTTCGTTTTATTCCCAAATAAATATTTCTTCAACTTGCATTTGCTAATTTTATTGTTGCCTGTTCTGTCTGACTAGTTGGGTGTACTAAAACAGTTAGACCCTTCGCCCTCAAGGGCTACAGGTCAATAGCCCATTCGGCTTTGCCTCATGGGCTATTGACCTGTAGCCCTTGCTGGTATTGGGTCTAATTGTTAGTGTTATCTAAAGGCTATATGAAACTGCCACCATGAGAAAATGCAGATTCCCCCTGTGGGAACCATATGGAAATTTAGTGGAACAACACATTGAATGCTACATAGTTTAATAAGTTTATTAAAAGTGAGCTTGATAGTGAGGCCTAAAGAACTCACATAAATGAAATGTATCGAATAAGTATCGTTCAGTTTTCTTTGCTTTTGTCTGCTAGGCCTTGCTACCAAAGTAAATTTTAATTTGAATTAAAAGAAGCTTATTCAACTATGAAATCTATGTTGCAGAAGTACTTTTGGCCTAACCCTCCCCCCTTTCCCAAAGCATTCTAAAAATTCCAGTTTAGCTTGATGCTTTTCTTTCAAACCTTTAGCTTTTGAAGCCCCACTCCTCCTTGGAATATCCAGGTATCTTCCTTGGGTGGGTGTGGAAATTTTCTGGATCTGCATAATACTCAGTCAAGAAAATACATTTTCCATAGATTTTGGTCTAAATTTTTTTACATGTATGTTTTGTTTGTTTCTCATTGCAGGCTGCAAACTACCTTGATATCAAAGGACTTCTAGATGTCACATGCAAAACTGTTGCAAACATGATCAAAGGTATGCCAAGACACGACTGCAACTAGTCCAATTTGCAAATCAATCATTTAAATATCATAGTAAACAATGAAAATCATAACCAGGGCTGTCAATAAGGGTCGTAACCCATAGCACCTGTTACAGCTGAGCATGCTTGATGGCTCCATGTTGTTACAGGTGAACTTGGTTGTAGTTGATACAATTCACCCGTAAAGTAACAAAGTTGTTACGGGTGTGAAGATTAAGGCTACAGGTGAACCAAGACTTAATGACAGCCCTGATAACCATAACGGGAATTGGAGATTAATTTGTAGTAGCTGGCACTGAGTAATCGGAAACTCCAAACCAAACAAAGGGACATATTATTTCAGTTTCTATCAGATGCTTATGAAGCACTTTTGCTCGTTACTGCTAAAAGTGTCATCACCCAAACAATGCACTCTTTGGCTGCCACAATAAGGAAAGTATACACNGGTGTACTAGTTAAAACAATAATATTAGACTCTTTGCCCCCAAGGGCATGGGTTAATAGCCCATGCGGGTAATGGGTCTAATTATTAATTAGGTTTATCCAAAGGCTATTTGAAACTGCCACCATGAGAAAATGCAGATTTCCCCTGTGGAACAACACATTGAATGCTACATAGTTTATAAGTTTATTAAAAGTGAGCTTGATAGTGAGGCCTAAAGAACTCAAATAAATGAAATGTATTGAATAACTATCATTCAGTTTTCTTTGCTTTTGTCTGCTAGGCCTTGCTACCAAAGTAAATTTTAATGTGAATTAAAAGAAGCTTATTCAACTATGAAATCCATGTTGCTGAAGTGCTTTTGGCCTAAGCCTACCCCCTTTCTCAAAGCATTCTAAAAATTCCAGTTTGGTTGATGCTTTTCTTTCAAACCTTTAGCTTTTGAACCCCCACTCCTCCTTGGAATATCCAGGTATCTCCATAGGAGTGGGTACGGAAATTTTCTGGATCTGCATAATATTCAGTCAAGAAAATACATTTTCCATAGATTTTGTTCTACATTTTTTTACATGTATGTTTGTTTCTTTCTCATTGAAGGCTGCAAACTACCTAGATATCAAAGGACTTCTAGATGTCACATGCAAAACTGTTGCAAACATGATCAAAGGTATGCCGAGACACAACTGCAAGTTACTAGTCCAATTTGCAAATTAATCATTTAAATATCATAGTAATGAAAATCATAACCAGGGCTGTCAATAAGGGTCGTGACCCGTAGCACCTGTTACAGCTGAGCATGCTTGATGGCCCCTTGTTGTTACGGGTGAACTTGGCTGTAGTTGATACAATTCACCCGTGAAGTAACGAAGTTGTTACGGGTGTGAAGACAAAGGCTACAGGTGAAACAAAACTTAATGCCAGCCCTGATTACTTTGACAGGAAGTAGAGATTGATTTGTAGTAGCTGGCACTGAGTATTTGGAAACTCCAAACCAAACAAAGGGACGTATGATTTCAGTTTCTATCAGATGCTTATGAAGCACTTTTGTTCGTTACTGCTAAAAGTGTCATCACCCAAACAATGCACTCTTTGGCTGCCACAATAAGGAAAGTATACACATGAAACAAAAACTGCTCACCATAAATAAGCCAAGAGCAGTTTCCTTGTTTCATGGATTATTCATGCTACACCATCATCTTGTTTAAATTTTAGAGTTTTTGTTTTAAACCTGAAGTGGTAATGAAAGGGTATCAAAAGCAACAAATATTTAAAAAAAAATTAATAGATAGACTTGTTTACATTTTCAACTCATACATAAGTTTGTAGAGTTTCCTATGATTTTGGTGCTTCTCAAAGAGACTAAAGATTACTGCACATAAGACAGCTCTACTGTTTTCAAAAAATATTGGAAACTTGTTGAATAAGTCAATTTCTGTTCTCAAATCAGGAAAAACTCCAGAAGAAATCAGGAAGACCTTCAACATTAAGAACGATTTCACACCTGAGGAGGAGGAGCAGGTAAGGTTTATTTATTAATTTTTCACTCCTCTAGGAAAATGAAATGTGGGTGCTACTTGATCATTGGTTTCACACTTGAATGTTCTAGCACTGAGGGTCAAAAGTGATTGAAAAGCGTAATTTGAGTGATATCAGTTCTAGTCAGGAATACATACCAATTAGAGTCACTCCATAGCGAGTGAACAAACTTGAATTTCACCTTGCTTTTCTATCTTGAGCAAGTGCCTGTCACATGCTTCTTGCCCAGAACATTTGAGTGCTTCTCTAAGTTTGATTTTTTGTTTTAAAATCATAAATTAGGCGGCAGATGGCTTGCCTTGGTTCTTGACCATGAGCAAATTTGCTTGTTGGGTATCTGGAAGGGACATTTTTCATTCTCATTAGAGCTGTTTTTGTTAGCATGGAACCTTTCATTTTGAACCTCAGAAGGCTCTTTCTGGGAAAGAATTGACTGCATCAAGGCAAAAGATACTGACCAAAATAAGTTGCTGTCCAAAAGCAGCTAGTCCATTTGTCCATTTGTCCGTGGACATTATCTGTTCTGAGAAGCGAACAGTTCTCCAAGAGGGTAGCTTGAGGAAAACTGTGAGCTTTGACAAACAGGTAATGTCTAACAATGAATACCGAGCATATTTTCACACACCAAATGGAGGCTATTGTGTTTCTTATCCTTTCAAATATTTTTTGCAACATGGACAGTTTTGAAATTGGGGAATATCACTCAGATATTCCCCAGTTCTAGCTGGGTTATATTCATTCCTGTGATGTGTTTAGACCAATCGTCTGTGAGCTAAAATATTTGATGGATTAGATAGGGAAATATTTATTTATTTGTATGTCTCTATTTCCCATGACAGGTTCGGAAAGAAAATGAGTGGTGTGAAGAGAAGTAAACAGTTATTCTACTTTGTATTTACTTGGAAATAGCTTTTTGAAGTCTAAGCTACGTAATCCCTGGAGAAGTGACCTTCATGATCTTTACAATAACAACAGTCTTTGCCGTTTTCTTACATTATTTTATTTTGCATCTTTTTTGGGTTGTGCAGTTCTTGAAAGTGGTTTACTACATGTTATTCAAGCCACATTCAAGACTTCACCATTCTCTAATGTGGTTTAATAGTAGTGAAGCCATGATCCTTCTGGCTTTATCACGATCACATCTTTCCATAGTTGTGGCAAGCACATGTACTGTTTCTTTCTTAAAAATAAATAAGGCGTTACAACGGATTTACACTGTTGTTACTGCATTTTATTTGATGTGTAATTTATAATAAAAAGATTGTGAGTCTGTTGTGTTTAATGTGATAGTTTATTGCTACCTTATCTTAAGATGTACAGTGGACTGAAGATAGTGACATGCCACTGATTGTAAGCATCACTTTCAGTGTGCCTACATGTGGTCAAAAACTGTAACATTTTGCAAAACAATGCTGACATGGCAAGTAAAAAATGGTTACCACAACCACATCAATTGAAAACTGGAAGAATAAACAACTGTAACTGTCTAGTACTTTTGCTCTCAGACTGAGAGGAAAAGATAAATCATCATGGTTGCAGTAAAGATTTGAAAGTCAATGCAATATTGCTAAGTAAAAGCAATTTCAGGGTGGACAGGCAGTCCAATCGGCTATGCATTCTCGGATGAGATAATGGTTTTGGCATGCCTGGTCAATTTGGCAGTCTCATTAGAATCTAGTCACTAGTGGCTGCTATTTTGTGTTTGGCATTCCCTTTTTGATTCTCTCAAGATGGTGCCCCAAATAATAAAATGAAAAGGGAAGTGGCTATGGCCAGCGTGGAATTTTTTTTTTGAGAAAACTATTTACTCCTGGGCTGAGTTGTTTGAAAGCTGGTTAACACTAACCCATTATTAAAAGTTAATCAAAATATTAATTTTTCTTGTAAAAAAAAAAAGAAACTGTTTTTCACTATCTATGTGATGTGTAGTTTTAGATTATTCAAACTCAAAACTGAAGGACAAACAATACGAACAGGAAACCTCACTGAAAAGTTACAAAACTGAACTCAAAATTCTCGCTAATCCTGGGTTAGCAATGCAGCCCTGAATACAGACACAAAGTGACAGCAGTGGCTACACACCACCATTAGTGAGAGTAAATTAGACTATCAATGCAACTGAAATTCCTGTATTATCTAAACCATGCCCAGGGTTGTCAAAAGTAGTTACTTTGTAACTCTTCTAGCTACTCTGCTTGCTATTTGCCTGATTCTTTAGGAAAAGGTGGCAAAATCAACAATAATGCAGTCTTCAAAACTTTGTGACAGTCCTGCATACCTCCTCNGTGGCACAACACAAGGAGAGAGCTTTGAATTTTGTTTCCTGATGCAAAATCCAGCAAATAACTTCTTCGGCCTGTCGCCTGTGTGCTTGACAATCTTACATATGTATTGATATTCTGAGCAACTACAACATGATTACTTTCAGGAAAAAGGCTTCACGTTAGTTTAGGCACACATACCTCCAGGAATGTGCCAGGAGTCCGGTACAACTGCCAGATTGCAATTCCAGGAATGAACAGCATTGATGATAAGGCCAGAACCCATCCAAAAAATTCAGCCCAAGGTGGATATTTGTAATCGTTATAGGAAACTCCACCCCACTGGGAGATGCTGAACAGGAATATTCCTGCCATGATGAGTGGTGAACAAAACCTCCAGCAGAACCACCACCAAACTCCAGGACGGCGACCAATCATCTTCTCAATATCGAGAGAGAATCTGTCTGTGCCATAGATCCAGGCTAAGGTAACAGTTTCAAAGAATCCCAAAAACAGGAGAGAAACACCTCCTGACTGATAATCAAACAGGTTCAAAACATACGCTCCATTTTGCATGACGCATGGCAGGCCAAGAAGGAAGCAGAGAATACATGCAATAAGGATGAAGAGTTCTTTGTGCTTTCGGAATATGCGGTACTCATCAACTACACCTGTGATGACTGCTTCCATCATGCCAAACTAAGAAACAATAGGAAAATGTGTATGAATTATCTATGAAAGTAAGTTTTATTTGAAGCTGAATATTACAATGGTTCGTCCCTTTATGTTTCTAATGTCTGATTTGATGTTAGTTTTCTATTGACTGTACATGTATATCACCTTATTGAAGCCTTTGACTGTTCAAGCAACTTGACCACCTTAAAATGTATCAAAGTTGAATGCAAAATTGACAAATGTTCAATGCTCTTGTGTTACCAACACAGTATCTTGAGCAGATTTTTAGAAATGGCACTTGTCCCTTCTTAGCAAGCTTCTCCTACAGAACATTCAGGTACACATGGAACTAGTAGCCTAAAGCAAAATATTTCACCGTTATAAAGTTAAGACATTGCATAATTTTAATTACCTGACTGTCAAGACCCAGTGTAAGCAGCATGAAGAAGAACAGAATGGCCCATAGTGGTGATACTGGCATTTGAGCGATAGCCTCTGGGTACACAACAAAAGCGAGGCCAGGACCTAGAGAGAGTAATAACATGTACACAATCAATCACCTGTTTTTTTCAGTTGGCCATTAAAACATAAGACGACTCACAGTTCACACAGAACCTTGGGAACAGAACTCTGTTACTTTTTCTTTACAAGATACTGTAATGCCTGCTAAATGTAACTGTCCACGACTTTCCTGTCCCTTTATGGCTCAAGTTACTATCTACAATGAGGGAAACGAACTTGAGTAAACAGGTGTTAAGTACAAAGCTTGGTACTACTACCAGTTTGGTTATGTCTAGAGCTTGTTTGCCTAATTAACATCAAGCCAGATTTACACGAACTACATTTGCTTTGTGTTGCTGTGGTCTGTACCTGAAGCTGCCACTGTTGTGATGTCTTTGTTCAGAACCTGTGCCATAAAGCCCAGTGTTGAAAAGATGACAAAGCCAGCAAAAATGCTGGTTCCACAGTTGATTAGTGAGATCATCATCGCATCTCTACCAAAGAAAGCAAATATTAAGTACATTGCAANTTCCTTAACCGGGCTGTGCTCTAGAAGCGCTGCAGGTGCCACAGATAACTAAATTTTGCCTTTGGGTGACTGGAAAAAACTTATTTTTTCATATAAGCTTAAGTGCTGGGCACCCAGCATTTCAGGGTTAGGAACCTTTGAGCACCTTGTAATTTGTCTCAGACGACAGCCTTGCTTATCCACAACTTTGGCTTACCTTAGGATCCTTCAGGCGCACCCAGTCTGGCCTCAAATAGTAAATGATGCCTTCACTTGCATTTGGAAGTGTGACTCCACGAATAAACAGAATGAAAAGCACAACATATGGGAAGGTTGCAGTGAAATACACAACCTTTAAGAAAAAAATAGAAAACATTTTATAAACTTAAATTGTACATCTGAGAGACCAAAATGTTCACATTTACCACATAAAACAAATTTAATTTCATATTGTTACCTTTCCAGATGACTTGACACCTTTCCACATACAGAAATACACACCAATCCATGCTGCAAGTAAACAAAGCAATATCTCCCATCTAAAAATTCCTGCATCTCCAATGCTATCTGTTATGCGCAGAACATAATTTCTGCAAGGGACAAACATATTGCTGTAAGTTGAAAGCCAAATAACGAAAAATGCCACAAGTCAATTAATATACACTGTAAAATAGAAAACAAATCTTTGACTGCTACATTGCATACAAGATTACTCACTCCCAATACTCCAAAGGTGGAGAAGTGAAATCTTTGGCCAACGTGCAGTTAGAGGCAGTTGCATTAACCAGGGCAGCAGTTTTATTAGCAAAGGCAGCAGTACCATTACCTAGGGAAGCACTGCTGTTTGCAACAGCAGAACAGCTAGTTTCAGGAATGCGCCCTGCAAAACATTTGTCAGTATTCCACCAATTACCACAAGACTTCCAGGGTACATCCTTGGCCATCGACAAGAAAAGGTAGTACAAACACCAAGCAATGATAATGTTGTAGTAAACACACACCAGGAAGGACACCATCATGCTTGCAAATCCAACCCCTAAAAGAAAACCAGAGATCATGTTACCTTCTTGTGACATTCACATGTGATATAAATTTCCATGACCACCTTAAAGTAGCTCTAATTTGGACCCCAAAGTGTAAGCTTTGGGAGGCAGACCAAGACATACCTGGAGAAGAACAGTAGACAAAGAAAGGGTACAGCTTGGTTTCAAAGGCTGGCATGATGCTACCACATGCACGAAGGATCAAAAACATGGTACAAGAGAATTCATTTTACCAGTTTGGGAACTGCAATCCACCGTAGGAAAAAAGATGGTGGCTGTACATTTTACCACAATGCCCTGCGAACCTAACACAGCCTAAATGGCACAAAGAAAGCCAAATTTTCACAATATTTGTCCCCGTACTAAGGATATTAAGTAGCCTAGGTTTGAAGATTTTATAACGGTTCTGTACATGTTTATGAGCATTGTTAAGGTTTTCGTGCGCTAAGAACTATGGTTAAATGTACCAGTCGCCATCTTTTTTCCTACGGAGGATTGATGACAACTATAAGAGTTTTTGATAGTGCAAAGCAAGCAAAAGGGATGCAAACTTAAACTTCAAAACAACATCAGTTTCATGTGACTGTCACAATGGAAGATTTAGTTGTATTTGGCTTTAACAGGGCTCACAAAAACATTTGAATTCCAGCTTGCCCTTCGGACAAGCACCTCTCGAATTTTGCTTGCGCTGGGCAAGTCTTAGTTTATTTTTTTTTATTATTTAGTCCACAGACGACTTGCCCAGGCCCTTGCCCATAGGGCAAGTGAGAATGAAGAGTCACTTGCCCGGCAAGAAAATCCACTTGCCCTGAACGTCCAAGGCAAGTGTTAAATCTTTTTTTTTTCAAACTTGACAGTGTGCAAATAACCAGACTGAGTCAAAATCTTCACAGAAGTCCTAAGCAAACACATCAGGACACATTTGTACCAACGCTTGCTCACTTACAAAAACAATTGTGTTCAAAAAAATATTTTCAGTCACAAAGATCTTTTTTAATGTGGTGCCACAAATAGCAGAAAATATTTTGCATTGTCAACTAGGAATATTTCAACCATTAGCTGATGCTAGGCAATGTGCCATTTAAAATCAGTTATTGCTTATACCTGTAGTGCTTGTATTGCTTATACCCAGTGACCCTGTCTGGGGCACACAGGATCAAAAATACACATTTTTGAAATGCCAAGACAATATACAGCCCCAGTATAAAGCTTGATTCACTTTACCTTGAAACAATGGACAAACGGCTCCCCATGTCCCGATTGGTCCTAGACTGAAGTACTGGCCGACAGCCAGTTCCATGTAGAACATGGGCATTCCACACAATATAAGCATTATTATGTAGGGAATAAGGAACGCCCCTGAAATAAATAAAACCGCAAATTACCTTCTAAGAAAAGCAACCGGATGATTTCT